ATTCCCATTCTTCTCAGAGTCAGCCATAGCTTGTTGTGATCCACACAGTCAAAAGCCTTTGCATAGTCAATGAAGCACAGATAGACATTCTTCTGCTTTCTGCCAAGATCCATATAACATTAGCTATAATATCCCTAGTACCACGGCCTCTTCTAAATCCAGCCTGCACATCTGGCAGTTCTCTGTTGGCATATTGCTCCAATCGTAAACTCAGCTCTAGGATAAGCAAATGCTGGAGTAAGACACTCTCCATGATCTGTAGACAAGGAGGGAGAATAATCACACAAGTGCAGCAAAGAGATATCCTGGGGGCAGAGCCCAAGCTGAGCCTGGGTGGACCTTTAGTGCTCAAAGCTCTAACGGAAAATGCTACAGAGGCTGTTGGAAGGAGGAGCCAGGAAAGTGGAAAGTGTGAGATTATAGAATCCAGGCAGAGTGTGTTTGGGAAGGAAGGACTCATCAGTGAGAGAAGGTGGAGGCAGGTCGTGGGCAGCTCCAAAAAGAGGTGGTATAAAGAAGAGCAAGTTTGCATAGGAAAGGAGGTGGAGATGGCTAAAGAATTTACAAAAGTTCTTGGGAAAGCCAAGAGGTACAGGAGGAAGGAGAACAGAGAGAGGCCACATGGGGCAAGAAGGCCAGGCTTTTATCTTCACATAGATTTACTGAAGCAGTACAATCCCAGTGAGGAACCACAGCTCAACACTATAACGATCATGCACAGCCTTGTCCTTATTCTGGAAGCAATGCATGCACAATCAGGTCCCCAGAGCCCAAGGTCAACTCTAGACACCTGGAAACTGAGTGCACTAAGTCCACCTTGAGTTCTGACCCCCTGGCTGTATTCAAGGGTAGCAGATTCAGATTCATGGGTAGATCATGTCTCCCGTTCTCATGGGGTCATCTTCCATTAAAGCTCCTCTTATTTAACTATAAGGAATTGGGACAATTGATTTTGTTCTTAGGAACCTCAAAGAAGTAAAACAAATCCATAATCTCCAAGTGTGTGTGTGGGGGAGATAGCATGCCCTTGATTTAAACATCCTGAGTGTGGAATATAGAACAGAAAGGGAAAAGAGCTAAGTCTCTATGCAATTCTACATAAATAAAAAAATATAAAGTTTCAAGAGATTGATCATGAAATTGGCTAAGTTTTCCAGTTAAGCAGGGTGGATCTAATACTCATATTTAGTCTGTTTTGAAATCTTGCTTCAGCAGTAGTTAAGGCAAGCGAAGAAGGGAATATGGAAGAGGGTATCAGAGCAGAGGGTCATGAGCGCTGCAGAACAGTCAGGAGGAGGGCAAAGGTGAAGAACAGGGGTAGCAGAGTGGGGATGAAGGCAGCAGAGCAGGGAGAGTAGTGGTTGGACCCAGAGGGGCAACAGAGTGGGGAGTGGACAGTGGAACAGGGAGGGCAACGGGGAACTTTCCCTGCAGAAGCATCAGAGGAGATTTGGGATTCTCATTGGAGCAGGTTTGGCGTTTCTGGAGTAGGTGTGAAAGCCTCACTGTAGCAGCTAGGTGCAGTGAGTTTTGCCAGTCTTGTGCTACTAAGGAGAAAAGCCCCTTACTGGATTGGTGACAGAAAACAGACATGAGGTTGGTAAAAAGCTCAGCCCAGTGATCCTTGGCACTCAGCCCACAACCACTTCTTTGCAAAGGCTACTATGTATTCTCCGGATAAGTTATGCTCAGATGAAGAACTTAAGTGAGGTCACCGGACACAGGGGAACAGTGTACAAGTGTCTGGATGTCCTGAGCTGGAGTCTGTACTTTTCTTGTCAGAACATACCTGAAAGAGTTGGGAGACATTTTTTCCTGAGAAAGCAAGGAGTAGCTGAGAAAAATCACTTTCATGTGTGCACTGTCCAGCCAGCAATGGACATATGTGCAGGAAACAGCTAAGAGTGGGAAAAGCTCCCGAAGAGGTGGGGAGAGAGGAAAAGGAATGAATAGGGGAGAAGCCAAGAGGTGATGGGTGGGCTGGAGAATGTCAGGCAATCAAGCCCTGGTGTCTGTCTGGAGACCATGCCTATTTTGCTAATCAGAGGTGGCCACAGAGATCCTGAATGCACTTTTTTCATTTGGGAGAGCAGATGCGTGTCTCATGTAGCACTCTAGCTAAAATGTTGCTCTGCAAGGAATAAACGAATGACCGATCCATGGCATCCCCTGAGTGGTGTCTGAGGTGGAAGACAGCTCCTATGACAATTAATTTTAAATTGTCCATTGAGTGCTCACATCTGAAGATGGAAACTGCAAGGGGCAACGGCCTGCTCATTAGTTCCCAGGGTACTTGTCAGACGTGTCATGGCTTAGACAAGTCTTTGTTCTGAGGAATTTCCTCATTTCTAAGATCATAGCTGCTGTTTCCTATTTATTGTCAGTGTGCATAGCCCCATAAGGAGGGAGGCTTACCACGGTTCTTGAAGATATGGAATGCTGGGATCTCGCCTCGTCCAGAAAACTCATTCTTGTGCTGGAGCAGGACTTCTTTCACTGCCTTGTAGCCGTGTACGACCACAACACGCCGGCTGCCCAGGTATACTGTGAACACAGGTCCATAGCGCTCTGCGAGCTGAGACACAAGGCAAAGAATGAGTCTCAAAAGTTTGTCCTTTGGGCAAAAGTGAAGGAAGATCTTCCTTATCACCAGGAGAACTCAGAGGGTCTGAGAGAGCCACTGTTTTGGTTCATGTCAAACTGCAGAAGGGGATCTCCGTCAGAGACTTGGCTCTGAGAAGTAGAAGGGACTATGCAAACCCCAAGGCCATTTCAGTCCCTGCCGATCACTCAGGTACAGCTGCCCAGGGAAAATAGCCTTAAATCCAGTCAACTACCACCTCGACCCCTCCTCAGCTCCACAAACACGTTTACTGTCCTCTGTTCTATATCTAAAAATCTAATTTAAGCATTTAATCTGTGAAAGAAGTACTGTCTTACTGAATAAAAAGCAATGATGTTTGTGAAGATGAAGTTTGCAGACACATCCTCTGTTGTTAGCACTTGGGGACACACTTACATAGCTGTGTCTTGTGACTTGGTAGGCAGTTCCAGATAGACGAAATTCCATAGAATGACTTCTCAGGTGGGAGCCACAAAGAGTCTCAACTGTGCTACATGCACCGGAATTCACTGCATTCCTAGAGAGCCCTACCTGCCTGCTAAGGCTTCACATTCCTTTTTCCCAGCCTGAACACATGCAGGCCAATGGGCCTGGATCCTTGGTAGTATCCATTGTCTGCTCTAGTCACCTCCACCAAACCCTGGACTCTGGAGAGCCCTCACTCACTGCTATCTCAGCCCCTCTCGGAATAGTATTCAATTCATACACTTTGTAGAGCAGACAACCGTCAAAATCTGTGCCATGTCTAACAGCTTATTAACAAAGTTAACAGATGTTTCAAATAATATAGCATTTAGATTTATTTACTCATTCCACCCTCACAACAACCTGAGGACGGGTGCCCTTGTTATGCTGCTACCACATGGGCTAGGTGACCACTATACTTTTCAGTTGTTTTTGTGGCATTGTGCAAACGGTTTGAGGTTGGCACCCAACCAGTGTGTACCCGGTTGTGAAAACATCATAAACTTTCCAATACCAAGTGGCAAATAGCACAGTTATAAGCACAATGCCTTTGCAGGATCCACTTAGCAACAGACAGTAAATGCCCATATAGAAGCTGTGCCATGGCCCAAGCTTGTTCTGAATGGTGAGTGCCAAACTTTCATATGAACTAAATATTTTGACCATGACTCCTGGATGCTCATATATTAGTTCGGTTACTCAGTAGTAGCCCAAGGTAATGACTCAAATATACACACACCTGATTCTTCTCCCGAAATTAACAGTACTTCTCTTACCCTGGTGAATGATTTAGGGATGTCCTTAAGTTCAATCTGGAAAAGATTCCCAAGAATAGGAAGTGGGAAAGGGCCAGGGGGCAGCTTCCAGCTGCTGTAGATCTGCTTCCAGATGGAGATGAGTAGCAGGGTAGCCACCCACACCAGCAGGGTGATGGTGACTCCTAGAGCAGCCATGGTGCTGTGGATCCCTGTGTTGACTTGCAGAAGGAGTCTGTGGGAAGGCAAAGTTTTTATAATGCACTACCAGGAAGGAGGGTGACCCTCTAACCAATGCCTTTCTTTACCCAAACGATCAGTTTATTATTAGTTGTTGTTGGCCATGATTTCAAAGGGCATGTCCTGGAGTGGGTGTGTTTTGGAAAACCAAGTGATACTCCCCTCCCCCAAGGGCTGGCCTGAGCTCTGTCAACACGGCTGTTGGCAGAGGTGCCAGTGAGAACTCCATGTAGGGGAGCTCCACCAGTCATAGGCCAGAGTGTAGGGTGGAGACCTGCCTCCCCTTTGCACTGGATGGAAAAAGGGGTGAAATTGGGGTGAGTTTTGTGTAAGACAGCATCAAGTGTATGCTGGAAGTCTAATGGCAGGTGACAGCTCTTAAAGTTAATCAGGATGCTTGGTTGAGCTGCTCTCCCAAGGTTCCAAAGAACAATGCACCAGGATGGTGAGACCAGAGAAGAACTAAAATCTTGAATTTGATACGACACAATCAGATCGATGGGCAAATTAAACTGAAATAAGGGGAGCAAATGTGAGCTAAAATAAAATCCCCCTTTATAATGAGTACACTACATTCGCACAAAGTTTTATATACTTTTAAAAGTTGTTCTTTGTCATGCATTGAACTGTGTCTCCATTTGCTCCCTCACCCCCTCAAAAAAATGTGTTGTGGATATTTAACTTGATTCCGCTATGGATTGACACAGCGAGCAATGGCTATAACAATGGTCTTGAGCATTTCAGAGATAGTGAGGGCAGTGCATGATAGGTCAAACATGTCACGTCTGTTGTTCATAGGGTTGCTAACAACAGCACCATGCTTGTAGCTATAATCCAGTATGGCAATAGGTTATGCTAGTTATATTACTGAGACAAGATTGGAATAAGATATGTTTTGTTTTGGTTTTTGTTTGTTTGTTTTTAAACTGTGCAGAAGAAATGAAATCACTCATCAGCAACGGTGTTGTGCTCACCCCACAGAGGAGTAAGACTGCACCTCTGGCTGGCATCAGCAATGCCTTAGGCAGAGACGGCAGAGCAACCGGGGCACACGAAGACCATCATGAGAACAGACATCACATTCCAAAAAGATATGTTTTGAGTCAATCTCTTACAAGTTATAAGCAAGCAGAGATGAGGAAAGAAAAGAGCCAAATCTCAGAAGCTCAAAGAGAAAAGAACCCTGTTCCAGGGCTGACTAGAGAAAAAGCCTTTCTCTAGTGCAGTATTCTCAACTCAAATTCTCAGCCTACAAAACTAGGAAAGTAAATTTCTGTTTGTTAAAGCATCCACTCACAATATTTCTAATTATAATAGTACTTATAACTAGAACACAATTTGGTACTGATAGTGGGGTGCCAAAAACGTAGAAGTGGCTTTAGAATTACATAATAAGCAGAAGCTGAAAGAATTCTAAGATGCCTAACAACAATAGTACCAAAACCACTACAATTGGTTTATCTATTTATTCATAATGTGGTGCTTTGCATGCTGTAGTGATGCTGAACTCTATGCCTCCAATATTTCAAATCCTATAGGATCACTCATAGGGAACAGGTTTTTAATGGAGCTCCAAATCTAGTCTAAGATAGGCTAGGAAGAATAACCAGGTGATTTACTTCTAAAACTAAAATGCCAGCAAACCCATTATAAATAGCTGTAGAACATTGTCTGATATAGTGCTGGAAGATGAGACCTTTGGTTTGGGAGATGCTAAAAGTTTGATTGGCGAAGAGCTGTTTCCTCAAAGTAGAGTTAACCCTAAAGAAGTGGATAGAATAAAGCTTTAGATGTCTTACTTTGCTAATGTGGCATGGCTTGAAATGAGGAAAAAAACAGCAACAAACACTAATAATTGTAACATGGAATGTACAAAGCACAAATCTGGAAAAGTGGAAGTTACAAAAATGAAATGGAGTGCACAAAAATAATTTAAAAAACAAGAAAGGCCAAAATGAATGCAGAAGAGATATTGAAGCTCATTGCTGAATAAAGAGACATTAAATAAAATGGAAAGAAAAATGAAGATAAAGAACTAAGCAGAAGATTTCTATGAGTGGCTTGAGAAGGTAAAGTATTGGAAGGAAATCTGTAAAGTCATCGAGTTAGATATGCAAAGATCCTGAGTTAGAAAACCAAAAGGGAAGAACGCATGGGACATTTCTTAAGCTGAAAAATTGGGGGGGGAGGGGGGAGGAAAAGTGAAGCTTTAAGTTACAATTTGGGAAGATTAGTGAAAAAGAGGAACACTCACATGAGATGGAAGGAGACAATGACTGCAATCATCCACCAGTGATTCTAAGGGTGATATAAGATTGGGCAGTGTCACATCCTATTGCATATGTTGTTGTTGTTGTTGTTGTTGTTGTTATATGCCGTAGAGTCACCTGCAACTCATAGTGACCTGAGATACAATAACTCTGAACCCTGTCCTATCCTAAGCCAATCTCACTGTCTCCAACACCCTTACCCATAGTACCCCAGTCACTGTGTCAATTAATCTCATCCAGGGTCTTCCTCTCCTGAGGTGTCCCTCAACTCTTCCAAGCATGATGACCTTCTCCAACGACTGGTCACTCCTGGCAACATGCCCAAAGTATGAGACAGAGTTTCAAAATTCTTGCCTCCAGAAAGCAATGTGGCTTCACCCTCTCCAGGACAGAGCTGTTTGTTCTCTTGGCAGCCCATGGTTGTACAAAGGGTCATTATAAGTCAGACTTGACTTGGCAGCATCTAACAACAATAACATGGAGGAATAAAAAGAGAACATATCAAAAGAAGAAGGACGGGATACACAGAATTACTGTTCCAAAAGTAACTGGTCAATATTCAACCATTTCAGGAGATAACATATGATCAAGAACAGAGGACAAATCCAAATTGCACTGAAAACATGGGAGAAAATTAAGGCTCCAACAGTTGAATTTTTACTGACTGAGATGTTGGAACAAATGAAAACAATATTGGAAGTGTTTATTTGTCTATGATAAAAAATTAGGAAGAGAGTAATTTCATTTAACAATAGAAAGATATTAATATTGTAACTACTACAAAGAAAACTGATTCCATAAATGGGGGGGATTATTGAACAGTATAGTTAACAGCACATGCAATTAAAATTTTGCTGAAAATTTGAGTCATGGAATGTATGCGTCAAGGTTGTATACTTTCTCCATGCCTATTCAATCTGTGTTCTGAGTCAATAATTCAAGAAGCTGGACTGTATGGAAAAAGAATATGGCAACAGGATTGGATGACTATTCAATAACAACCCATATTATTCAGATGGCAGAACCTTGCTTATAGAAAGTGAAATAGATTTGAATCCCTAACTGATGAATATCAAAGATTAACAACAACAACAACACCCTAGCCCTAACCTTACAACCCTCAATTCAGAATGGGTTGCTTCTTAAGACAATACTTCTCACCACCAGAGTGATAGGTAACATCATGATAGATGGAGAAAAGAATTGAAGTTATCAGTGACTTAATTTTTCTTGTATTTGCAATCACACCCAGGTAGCAACATTCAAGAAATGAAAAGATGTGTTGCATTGAGAAAATCTGCTGTGAAGGACCTCTACAAAGTGCTAAAGGGCAAGAATATCAGTTAAAAGATTAAGATGTGCTTGATTCAAGTCATGGTATTTTTAGTTGCTTCTTATGATATGAAAGTTGGACAATGAATAAGGAAAACCAAAGAATAAGTCATGCCTTTGAGTTGTGGAATTGGAGAAGAGTATTGAATAAACCATGGTCTTCCAAAAGAATAAATAAATTGGAGGAAGTGCAATCAATGGCTTCTTTGGAGTCAAGAATGCAGAAACTTCATCTTGCACATTTTAGACCTGTTATTAGAACTAGTGCTTAGAAAAATCACACTGGGAAAAGTAGAGGGTTATGGAAAGAGAAGAGGACCCCTCAATAAGATGGATGGAAAGAGTGAGTGTAACAGTGGGCTCAAGTATTCAGGAATCATGGAGACAATACAGTATTCCATTTTCTCTGTGTATGGCTTAAAGAGTTTCTTGTTCTTTTGACATAATTTGATAGTCTTCTCTTATGCAGTCATAACTATTATGATCATTGGTAAAATTGACATTTTTGAGCAAGAGCACACTTATTATATCTTTTCTTCTCTATTTCTATGTACTATGTCATGCCACTACACTAATTCTCAGAGATTTTATACTTAGAACCTTTCTAGTTTTACATTTCTTCACATACATATTTTCTTCTACTTTACAAATTAAGCTTTAGTATTTTCATTAGTATTGATACTTTGCTTAGCAAATTCTTTTCCCTCAAAATACACCTTGGTAGTCTCCTCTCTTTTAGTTCTGTTGTATCTTTTTTTGTTCTTAGATTCATGCTCTTAGATATGAAGTTCCTCACACCCAGAATGAGATTATACAGAGAAAAGGATCTTCGTGAGGGAAATATATTTGGAATGTGCAAAGAAGTTTCCTGGTCTGCAGTACTTCCCCTGGGCTCTCTGGACTCCCTCTACAGTGCCAAGCTCTCTTCCCACAGCAGAACACATAATAAGCAGCTACCTTAGATTGACTTAATGTAGTGATTGTCTCCTATTTCAAGTTCACAAAAAGGAGGTATAAAATATCTCAAGGTAGAAGAATATTGCAGCAACCAAAGAGCTGTGGGTAAGCAAGAAGGTAGTGGAGTATGGGTGGAAGTGAAAACATACTCAAAAGAGTTGACTTAAGGACTATTTTCTATGGTAAAATGGAATAGAAATTTAAGGGAAGACAATTTTGTAATACCATTCATAGTTTAAAGATGTGGCAAAAGTCAAAACTCTTTTCCAAGTAAAAGAAAAGCAGGGAACACAAAACATCATCCTGGTCAAAGGATAAGTAAACTTGGCTCAAGAACAAAGTCATTCCACGCCGAATGGGGATTTAATGAGCCTGTTGTTACATCTGTCAGTTAGCTCT